CAGCAGGAATGGCTCGGAATTGTCGCGAGAAATCTCTTGCAAGACCCGACCCGTCTAAGGGATATATACAGCCATTCTTCTCGCACATCCAATCCATTAGCGTGATGCGCGCCATGGTTCGGTAGGAGGAGATATGATGATTGAGGTCACGTATAATCCCATTGACCGAGATTCCGGCATTGATGCGAGCAATTGACGGGAAATCAAAGCCGTGATACAACACCGGAAGCGTTGCAATGGAGGTCGAGGGTTGAAACGGAAAGCCGAGAGCATCGTGAACCTTCTGAATAATCAACCTGTCAAGTGCTTCAGCATCTGGCTGTTTCAATGACTGAAGCGACAATAAGGCGCGACAGCGAGAAACAACGTTCTGCGACACAATCTTCCGTATCAGCGTGATAGGAAGGCGACCAATGACTTTCGGAAATTGAAAGCTTTCAATAAAGTCCTTCAATTCCACGAAACGGGACGTTGGATCGTTGACCTTTGTCCTGAGAAAGTCTAGATCGTCTTTAATGAGTGCAACATCGTGTTCAGTTATAGCAAGGGGATTAACTCCCCTTCCCGTGGACACTGATTGAAATTTGACTGTGTCTGGATGATCGCCTGTTGCCGACAGAACGTATGCCTTCAATTTGGCCCACTGAGTTAGCCAACCGTAAGCGTACTGGAAGCGTTCCATGGCTAGAGCGTTGCGTTGAAGCGATACCAGAGACCTGGAGAAGATGTAAGAGTCATCAGTCGCTTCAACCATGGCAACGCGCAGACTAAGTCTCGCATCCTTGAGATGCGGGTCATCTTTCTGCATGCTACTAGACGATATGACCAAAGCATCCGGATCCTAAGATAAGAGATCATTAAGGAAATAATGACCGAGACTTGTCGTAAAGGTTGACTTGAGCGGGGATGCAGCGCCTCCCTGTTTGTTTAACCCAGAGACAACGATAGGGTCAGTGACACCATACGCGGTTCAGCGAGTTTGAAACTGGGCAGCAAAATCAAGGGCAATAATGGACTCGGGCAGACCATAAGCACGGACTGCGTCATAAAAGCCTTCAGGCGATAAGTAGTCGAAGCATTTCATCTGATCACGTTTCAACGCGTAAACCGACTGCTTATTACGATTCGCCCAACATTTGACATTAGAGAGATAGCTCATGAGGTCACGAGTTTGAACCCCAGGCTGTGCAGCAACCTGAGTGTCAGGAAGTATCCTCTTCTCTGCAGAGTATCGTATCAACGAAGCGTTAAGCCAAATCATAGGAGAATTGGCGAGAAAATTCGAAACTAAAAGTCCCCTCCAATTCTGTAAGTCCGTACGTAAGCCACGTTTGTGAAACATGGTCAGCCACATGTCTTTTATATCCCCTGGAAAACGAGAGTTCATGACCTGGTAATTATGCAGATCAAGCACAAGATTGAGCGTATCATCGGAAAGCGACTTGACAGTCCATTTTTCCCAACCATCAGGACCAGGCGATGGCTTGCTATTGCCCCGTCTAATCATAGCACGAAAGTCAGAAAGAGAAGCTTGAACTGGCCAGACAAATGGATCGTCAGCCACTCGATCTT